TGGGTACAAAGTTTTTGCTTCACGTATTAATATATAGATAAAATAACTATTCTCAGACCATTCGATAACTTTTAAGCGCTTTTAGTGCTGCATTTGCCAACCATATTGTTTTATTTATCAACCTCGCACAGTTATTTATCTATCAGCCTAATAACTTAGTTTTAGATATTTAGCTCGGAATATTATTTTGATATGATAATTACTATGTTCGCTGATAGCAACAAAACCAGACAGCTAAATGAAATTAATATATTTTGGCTGTCTACAAATAATTTAAATAAACGAGGTCTGATTCAATTTTCTAAATCTAAATAGCAAGACTATGGATATTAATTATATACTCTTATTCTTATTTATTTTCTATCAAGACGTCTTTATTTAAAACATATATACTGTAAATTCGATTATCTGGGCAATTTGTCAAGTAAAATTCATTCACATTCTATAGCATAGAAAAGTGGGATATGATAGTCTTAAAGAGAATCCTAGTCAGATTATAATTCTTTAATCAATAGAAGCATTTTAATTAATTTAATAATTTTATTACTTTTCCAATAATATACAGATGTATACATAAAAACGTATGAATTATGAGAAGCTTCATTCGTACTACAGCTAAATGATACACGTTTTTAACTCTCATAACATGGTTAGCAATTCTCCCTCATTCAAACTTACGGCAACACCTTCGACATAAAAGAACCTTCACGTACACGACGCCCTAACTCTTATGCGGTCCGACCTCCGTGGATCACTAATTACTGCGTACCAACGTTCGTTCCGCATTTTTCATACAGATCACGGACCCACTCAAGTCGAGCGATATCGATTGGAAAGTTCTGCCGGGAATTACTTGGGCCTCCGATGAGGAATTGCCGGAATGCAGTTGGGAGAATGCTCCTTTGTCCTGTGAAAAAGCTAGAGCAAATGCGTATCAAAACAATGATTACTTTCCTGAATGTCTCATCTCAAATTGGACTTAGATTAGTGTTGATAGCCAAATGTCCCATACAATAATTAAATGTAGTATTTAATAATAGCAATTATAAGTTTAGTATGCGTGAGTAATATGATACTTTGAATCCAAATGATAATTTGTATGATCGTCAATAATTTTCCTTAACAAAAACATTTATGTTATAAAGAATAATGGATATAACTAGTCTAGCCATATACTGTTACATAGAAGCTTTCCTTTTTTTTTTCAAATTTTTTATTATTTTGAATTTGGAACAAGTAAATTAAGTAAACAATTTTAAAAACTTATTCCGATTTTGCGCCATTTCACATATTTTGTCATGTTTATTAACAGATTACAATATGGAATGGGGTGTTAAAGAAAACAGGATTGCAGTGATCGCCTTGCACAAAGTGGGTATGGAGTCGCCGGTCATATTCCAGATACTTCAAAAGCTTGGTATCAGCCGTATGTTCGTATATCGTACTATCAACAGATACAACAACACTTCGTCTGTCGAAGACCAGAAAAGATCGGGGCGGCCGCATGCTGTTAGAACTACAAAGGCTGTTAAAGCTGTTAAACCCAGAATTCGTTGAAATTCCATTAGGAAGCAAAAAATCTTATCGCGAGAAATGAAGATTCCCTCTAAGACTCTGTCGTGTATAATAAAACAAGACCTGAAGCTCGGTGTTTATCGTCGATATACAGGACATGCCCTAAATCGATCTTTACAATTAAAAAGAGCGGATCGATCAAAACTCCTTCTGTCGCGATACGCAGGTGAAAGGCACAGAAATATCCTTTTTACCGATGAAAAATTTTTCACGATTGAAGAACACTACAATAAGCAAAATGATGAAGGGTACGTTCACAGTTCTAAAAAAGCTGCTCAAGTGGTCGGAAAGGTCCTGCGTCAGTGATTATTCGGTGGGGCGTGTTTTATCAAGGAGTCACAAAACTACATTTTTGTGAAAAAGGAGTGAAAACTGCTGCCAAAGTGTATCAAGATACAGTCTTAGATCATGTTGTGAAACCGGTCAGCAATACACTTTTAAAAATATACCGTGGAGTTTCCAGCAGGACTCTGCACCTGGTCACAAGGCACGAACTACTCAAGCCTGGCTTGAAACCAACGTTCCCGGCTTTATAACAGCTGAAGACTGGCCCTCATCTATCCCAGACCTCAACTCTTTAGACTTCAAATTATGGTCAGTTGTAGAGGACATGGCCTGCTCTAAACGTCAGGGCGACATTGAGTTTCTTAAAAAATCTTTGGAGCAAGCAGTGGCGAAATTTCCCTTGGAAACAATGCATAAATCCATAGATTCGTAGCCAAAGAGATTAAAGGCCTGTAAAAAGCCAAAGGTGGCCATTTTGAATAGATTTTTTTTTTTATTTTTTTTAAATATTATTATATTAATATTATTTCATTTGTAACACAACTTATGGCTGGCTACGTAGACATTAGACTATGGTTAAATCTTGAAATGTCGACGAATAACACCGTAGTCGTAGTCCTCAAATATTAAGTGTATTTATTATCTACGCCGTAGTCGTCGGTGACAAAAAAAGTGTAGTTTTCAAAACGTCCGAGATAATATAATGACAATAAGAAGCGCGAAATTAAACCACAAAAGTAGTTCTCATTATGGGTGTAAAAACATAAAAACACGCTAAAAAAAATGTTTTCTCCGCGTTCCGAGTTCAAAAGGAAGAATTTCACAGACTTGCCCTCGGTCACGCCACATAACTTCGGCCATTGTTTTGCCCAAATTTTAGTCGAACCTTAACATAACTTTTGGCTCACATGTTTTCGGACAAATACGGGTAGAACTTTACAAGTTTATCCTAGAAAAAAGTTTGCGTAAACGACTTATAGGCAAGGAGCCTACTGTAATTGTTAGATTGAATCGAGATGTATGCTAAATACACTTGAGTAATGCAAAGAAAAATAAAAAGTTTTTATCATGCCGATTGATCTAACATAATATTTTATCTGATATCTCAGTAATATTTAGCAGAATACTTAGTCAATTACTCCCGGTCAATTAAAGCTACCACTATCACCTTCCTCTTCCTCTGTATCTATAGGATCATTGACATTACATTTCCTTTCCGAGCGCTCCTCGTAATTAGTGTCTGTATCTATGGGCTTCGGTAACCGCTTAACACTAGGTGAACTGTGAATTACCACTCACCACTTAACATCAAAAGAAGGTCTACTAATCTACCTATTAAGGCAATAAAACCAAAACGACAAAATTAAATTTAATGTAATGTGACATAATAAACTCAAATTGAACGTATACCTAACTCACCTCGCTGAGGTTTAAGTAGGTAAAAGTAATTATTCCTCTCCATGAAAGGCCTCTAACCCTACACCTGTCGGGTTGCCACTAGTCGTTGTTTTCTTTTTCACACTTCAACTACTCCGGTGCGTATCAACGGGCGTGGAGTGTCGGCGGGTGTAAATTGAAACACTTGCAAATTTACCCTATACATTATTCATGTTCTGAACACCCTTAGAACGAGAGGGCCTGACAGTTACGGGTTTGATGAAAACTCCAAAAAAACACATAAGAAATGAAGATTGGATTCCGTGACCGACCTTCTGCGAGATGTCGACCTTGAACCATCTGTATCACTCGTGACTGAGTTTTGAGTACATTTCATTAGATTTTTTTTTATTGCTTAGATGGACGAGCTCACAGCCCACCTGGTATTAAGTGGTTACTGGAGCCCATAGACATCTACAACGTAAATGCGCCACCCATCTTGAGATATAAGTTCTAAGGTCTCAGTATAGTTACAACGGCTGCCCCACCCTTCAAACCGAAACGCATTACTGCTTCACGGCAGAAATAGGCATTAGAATAAATTGTTTTTGCTTTTGATGAATTCAATTTATAACCTATTGTGTGTGGCATGGCGATGCGCAAATCACACCCGTTCTCGCAGTCTGGTAGCACATAAGTAAAGTGGGTCAACCATTATACGTCTAACAAATGGGTACCCGCCTTAAGACGGCCTGTGCAATAAGGAGTCGGTTCAGAAACCCACAACCTGCATTATTCTGACCCTAATAAATTTGCCGAGTCAAACGGGCGTTGTCAGACAAATGAGTTTGAAGACGTACAACGCCGTAACAATTGTACGGAGCGCTTATACAACATTATGTTTTATTAACATCCATAACTTGCTCTATAACGTTAGAAAATAAAACAGATGTTTTTTTTTTTCTGTTAAGTAAGACAAATCATTTCACTACTAAGTAGCAGTTATCGGCTTTTAGTAGCTACCGATAAATTAATAGATGAACAGGCTTTATCAGGGCGTATCTTGAATAAATTGGATTATTACAAAACCAGATGGGCCTATTACGCATCTGCAAGCTAAAGACAATAAAAACTTTACTAGTAAAATTTATAAAATTTAAATTTATCACTCAACACTGCTAAGGACGTCAATTGAGTTGAAGGTGAACTCAAGACTAATTAAAGCAGTAATTCTATAAGATTATCATTTTAGAGCCTTTTAAATCCTTTTTTTTTACTTCCTCGGTGTTTATTTTTGGCTCGACACAACAGAAGTCAATATACAAATTAGACTTAAACCACAAAATGGTAGAACGCGTTCCATTCTCAAAGGCATTGATTGATTCGGTCCCATCAAATTAATGTAAATACGCCCAACCTCAAACGGTATACAAACAAAACGTTAATTTACAAAACACATTTTCCTTGGAGAGTTTAACGTAATTTCTTTCTCACCGAGGCGTTTCCTGAAATAAATTACAAGTGTAAAATTCACAACAACAAAAGCGAAACAACAAAAGGCCCGCGTTTCGAAGCATCCGGACGACCCTTCCAAACTTAGCAGCCTGATTACGGATTTCCGAGCAAGAAAAATAAAGAAAGAAATAATACCCGCCCCATATAAAAATCCTAGAATACATCAGCAGACCACTCTCATTTTATTAAGCCCGACAATATAAAATAAATGCTTTTATTAGAAACACACCGCGTTTCATCTTTGTAAGCTACTCTTGATTTATGTTTTCGATAGAACATTTCCTACTTAATAAAACGTTTACATGAAAATCAACGTAATCGAAAATTGATGGCTGCGGTGTGTAGTGCTTGAAGTACAGATGAAACCTAGGATCTCGCATCATGGTGCCACCTCTTGATGATCTGAGAGACGGAGCTGGTGGAGGAGGTGATGGTGTTGTTGCTGATCTCGATGGCGTATACGGACCTCTACCTTCTATTTGTATTTGAGGCTTAACTTTTTTCCACATAAATGGCTCTTTGTGTAGTTTTCCATGATGTGTCGTAATATGTCTCGTGTTCTCTTCCTTAGGTATAGGCGCAGTGAGCTCGTACATTTCTGGTAAAGATAAATACCAGTAGTCGGCGCCGTCCCCTATTATAGGAAATAGCCTTTTATTGGAAAACCTCGGCCGGTATTTTCTCACGAACTCGTCATATTTTCTCTTCAATCTCTTCATGTATTCAGTGTAATGAATAGATTTGAGGAGTTTCTCAAACTCTGATAGTTCTGTCGTTACTGGCTCAGAGTATACACCTGCACATACGTACGTTCTTAATAGGTGATGTAGTTTAAAAACTACAAAAGCAAGCCATTGCCGGGCTTCTTCTTCTAATATCCTTAAATCATCAGCTCGACTGCGTATTCTGAATTCAGCGGCCTCGGCTGCTCGCCTCTCGCCTCTTATTGCAACAGTTGCCAACCACCTTCTATAGGATTTGTAGCAGAATTTTGTTTTCCGGGAATAGTGACCACGCCATAACGCCTAGAACAATATTTAATTATAAATCTTATTATTTAGGACAATGCAACCATTTCATATCCTCTTGCTAATTAAATAAGCAAGAGTACTGTTGGAGACTTATATTAGTCGGTGCTTTCAAATTAAATTTTGAGAGTCAAACTTTACCTGTATAATTATTGCGGCGTGGTCATAATATCTGCAGTGCTTTTGTCTCACAGCCATTCTCAAAGCAATTCTATAGGCTTTTCGAGCGACATGAACTCTATAGGCACATTGAATTGTTACCGCATTCTTTGACAGCCAAGCAATGTGCTTTCTAATTAAGTAACCTCGCGCCATTCTTTGTAACAACACTACAGCTAAAAATCTCGTTCTGCGATGTGACTCCGCTAAATTTGCCCGTTCTTGCAGTTCAGCATAGAAATCATCCTGTGACGGTAAAAAGTCTTGAACTGTAGCCATTTTAACAACTTTCCAAAAACTGTTTCACGATAAACAAATAGATGACACATCAGACCACCGGCAAACAAATCAAAATTGTCAACGTTTGACATTTATGTAGCTTGATGTCAAAGTGCATGCCTCGTTCTACAAAACGATTTCATTTCAAAACCTTCTTCAAACGTGCATTCGCCTTTGCTCAATCATAATTATGCCAAAGGCCTCGAAACAAGCTTAGATTTTTTGGAAGGAAGTTCCTTATGGGGCGATGCGGAGGGGTACCCTAACCGGGAAAAACGTCCGTAACGTAAGTTTTTTTAGTAATGCACACAGTGTACGACTTAACTTTGTAATAACGTACAAAAAATAACATATTTTTTTATCATTCATTGACCACGATCTCAGAGCGTTCGTTTGCAACCGTGAATGAAATGTACCACAATATGACCACATTACGTTCGCACGTTACCGAATGACCGTGGGTTGTTGCGAAACCTCCAGTTTTATTTTCTTTATACCTCGAATAGAATTTAAAATTAATATTTTTATAATAAGGAACTTCGTTCCTATCCGGTGTCCTACGACACCACACATATTTTTATTTGTATTCTTACATGAGTCAATGTCTGGTTGCCCATTTCATTGCGCTCACTCCCGAGCTCCGATACGAATTGTATTCGGAGAGTCCTCTGCTCCCCTCAAACCTCGCTCAGGTGGCCTCGTGTGAGACATCATGAATAATTCAACAATCAAATTGCCAAGGACTGTATACCTGTTTATTTATTTTCGACGGAGAATTTAGTGGTAATTCCCGTATAAATAAATAAAAATGTCATGTTGTAACTGTAATAAATGATTGATGTTTATTTTACCGAGTACCGAGTTGCCCTGTCGTTGCAAAATATTTTCGCTTTTTTTTTTTCCTTCACCAAAGTTTTCTTTTGAAAAGTGAATCTTAATAAAATATAAATGTCGCGCTTCTTTAAGTCGTTAGCCGCTCTTTAAAATCAAGGTTCCTTGGGAAATGGTCGACTTTCATAATTAACAATGTGCCCGCAACGAGTCTCCTCCGCTCAGAAGAAAAGACGGCCATGAATTATTAAAGAATGGCACATCATACAAAATTTACAAGACCGTGTTGTAATGAAATAGGCACCGGGAAAACGCCTCGTGAAAACACATTGTGATCATTTTATATTATGACTCTTTTTTCATGACTTTTGTCATCCTCAATTACATTTACAACAATACCCAAAAAATATGTTCAATATTTTTCGGACTCATAATGTATGTTTTTCTTTACTTAACCGTGAATTTGAGATGCTTGAATAGATTTGGATATATTATCGGTTCATTAAAATTCCTTAGCTGAATTAGACTTTTTAATTTAAATATTTTGTCAGGGCTGTCGTGTTTCTTTTTATATTTAATACATAAATTGTTATAATTCTGTTTTAATAGTGAAGTATTATGTAGTGATAACATAATAATAACGCACTCTGGATGAAGACAGTGGTTTTAGAATATTCTTATCTAAAATCCAGATAGTACGGAGGAATCTGCTCCCATATGATGATGATCATGTCAAATTGTTCCTCATAGTTCTTTCCTTAGTAGTTGCCTGTTGTACATGAATACTGGTATAGTCGTATTTATTGATACAAGTACACACACACACACATATTTTAAGCCGCGATGACTTCCTTATTCAGGACCGTCAACATTTTACATGACAACTTGGCTTAACTCTATCGATCACTCCAATAATAAATACAACATCAAACATGAACCTCAAGAATCACAAAACTCTTGGAAGTTTGAAAAGTTGCCCTTAGATTAGCATCGCTATGACAAACGGATACTTATTTTGCAGTAAATGTCGAAATCTTTATTGTGAATGATTTGAAATGAACTAAATTCAAATCACATCATTCGAAGAATTCTCTACTTTGATCACAAGTTTTGGTGGCCAATATGTCAGACATCTTCCGCGTTGTCATCCGCATCATGTTATCAATATGATGTCATTGACAAATAATATAAAAACGTGAGGGAGAATATTGAGCTTTGTGAAACGCCATTGCTAACGGTCATGGTACAGGATCAGGAGCTAAAAACGACCATGTTAGTGCACCGATCATCCCAACAACTATCATCATCATCATCATCATCATCATCTAAGCACTCATTTGCTTAATCGAAGTAGGATTCCGTATCCCAGTAATTACGATAAAAAATCCCCATTTGACCTTGTCGAACGCAATATAAATACTCATAGCTTGCCCTTGCTCAGTTCTTCAGTCTTCTGATGAGTGGGATGTATAAGAAGATCGCTACCAGAGCGACCAAAACAGAAGCTGTACTGATAGTAGTTGATGAATTGGCAAACCTCGAACCATTTAGGGACCTGGATATTTACATCTCGCTCCACTACTTTTGAAAACAAGGAAGACAAGGAAGACAAGATTTGATTTATACAACACTACGTTAGGTTTTCAAAATGGAAGTCATTCGTAAACAACGTTTTAGGTTAGATTAGAATACTTTGTACCTGCCTACCGGATTTGAAGTTTTTTTCCCATATCTATTCGCTGGTAGCCTAAGAGTTCACGGGTTCGATCTAAGAGAGCTTACTAACACTAACCCTAGCAAGAGCAGTGCTTCGCAGAATCGACCATCGACCACCGGATCGGAATCGCGACCCACTGAGAAGATCTGGCAAGAAACTCAGTAGACTAAGTGTGGGATTTCAAAACCGGCATTGTCGCAACACTACACGACATCGGTTGCCTTACCCATCAAGCCATGGACGCTTCAATGCATCAACAAATTTGACCCAAAATACAGAATTATAAAATGAATACCCACCATAAAAGAAATTGCTGATGCTATGTCGTAATATAAGTAATGGACGCATCGTACGTAAAAAAAACGATTTTCCACCGTCAGATCATTAAAACACAATTAGTACTTTAGTTACTATGTATATTGTAATTTTATGGAAATCGGACTTTATTGCCTTACATTAAAACACTATTAGGGTGTTCGATAAAAACAGATCGGTTACGTTACAGGTATGGACACTAATGGATTGCGGTACAAGGTTAAACAATTTTTACTTTTGAATAGGAATTTTGTGGCAATAGGTTTTTGTTTGGAAAAATACCCAAAATTGGGACTAGTTATTCTTGTTTCATTGCTGTAGTTGGGGTACACAGACAATTAAATTGCAGATTTACTAGTGTAAATCTGTGCCACACACTTTGAGACATAAGGTCGACATTTCAACTTTTTTTACATGACGTCTATCCCACCCTTAAGACGGGGCACGAGTGATACCTATCTATGCGACCTCACAATGCGCCACATCACCGGTAAAACTTGGTTAATCAGATCACCATCAGTATTATAGCACTTTCAACAATATTGTAGCTAAAAACAGTATTTAGAAATAATATACTTGAAAAAACATTAAAAGTAAACTCTGAATGTAAAATTGAATTATTTCGCTAAGATTTTAAAGTATTTCTTAGTTCTGTATTTTATATTATATGTATTTCAGTTTTTTTTTGTATTCTTATCTAAATTGTCGATTCATCTCTATTCTCCAATAAAAAATAATTCATATACCATATGAAATACATTAATACTAGAAACTCAATGAAAACATGAAAATTGCTGTTGTATTGCTAATTCCAACGTTTGCAAGTCGTAGACATAAATTAAACAATTTCAACGGTTTAATCTCGAGTTTATTATGAGATTAGATGAAACCGTAAAAGTGGTTTTAAATTGACTGTATTTGACGAAACGAATTCTTATAAGACTGTGTAAAGAGTATTATTTCAAACGTTTTAAAACATTTCGTACCTTGAAAGTCTAAATAAAGAATTGATATCTATATATATAAAAATGAATTGCTGTTAGTTTGTCTCGCTAAAACTCGAGAACGGCTGGACCGATTTGGCTAATTTTGGTCTTGAATTATTTGTGAAAGTCCAGAGAAGGTATAAAAGGTAAATAAAAATAACAATTTAATTTTTTCTTTGATGTGTACCCCGTCGTACGGATTCCTTTTGTTTGGTTTATTTTATACAAAAGTTTAGGTCTTTTATTTATCGATTGTGGCACTACGAAGTATGCCGGGTCAGCTAGTTTATTATAATTTTCAATTAAATATTGAAAACCACGCTTCGGAAGTCCCTATTAATTATTTTACTGCTTTCAGTCCGCGTACAGTAAAACAACCCTCTAATAAGACTAATATTCCCTTAGACGTAATTATAGAGTCTTCCAATCACACAATAACATAGGTAGAACCGTCGGCATGTATTAACCGTTCTAAATTAGTTCGCGCAATCATCGATTCCCTCTGATTAAATTCCCGCTAACGAACACTTATTACAAGGTTTAATAAAAGTTTGTAATTTATTTTCACATACAAATTAACCGGTAACAAATTAGTATTAACTGAATTAACGCTTTGCAAACACGAAACTGATAATGATGTACTGGAATTATGCTCAAAGGACGTATTTCGAACGTGAAAGGTTTTTAAAACAAACAACTACGTTTTTGTTTTTTTTTTTTTTTTTTTTTTTTTTTTCAGAAAGAAAATTCTGGATTATGTAATAAAAATAAGCAAAGTGCTGCTAATATTTAGCTGTCGTTTTGTTTAACGTTTTAAAATTAATTACTTGTGTTTTTAATGTCACATGAATAAACTTCTGTTTCAGACATTAAAAATTAATTCAAATTTATTTGTACCTCTAAACGGTTTATTAATTTTTAACTGTCTTATAATTTAATATTTTTTACGAGTGATGTACATTTTTTGTGTTTTAAATTTAAATACAATATCATACATTTTAACGAACATAATGAATTTGATTTTATCGGGAAAAAGTATCACCGGTTAGAGCAAATACCTACTCTATTCCAAGGCTAAAATTACTTGAGCAGCTAAGCTAGAATGCTTAGCTTAATTACTGTAAAAGCGTTCTGAGAGCTGCATTGCAGTG